GGCCTGAGTATTAAGTAGTTACACAGAGGAAAAGGAAGAGAGTTCTTCAACTGAGCAGAAAAGAACCAGTCATCAAAAGAAATTCCTAATCTCAGGTGAGTTAACTGCTCAAACAGTTGGAGCAGGCAGTTTCTTCACTGTTGCAAAATGCATCTAAAAATTGTTATAGCTCACCTACGTGTTTAACACAAAAAAAGCAGCCATAAGAAACAACACAACAAAAAAAAAAAACAACAAAACACACCATGGATCAAATCCTGAAACCAAAGTTATTCAGAAAGTTTACAGTTGAAATTAATGGCGACTCATTTCAGTTTCCAAAGAAACCTTCTGTTACCAATTTCTTTATCTACTCTTTCCACACCCAATGGCAAGAGGAAGAATTAAGTGACCTGTGAGCTTACACTGCTGTTACAAGTGGTTGGATAGGGATACAGGAAGAAAATAAACACATAGGTGATCACTCCTTCTGACTCTCCACTCCCAGAAATCATATTTTATTGTGTCCTCCACTCTTAAGGCCTGTTCTAGAACTACATGAAAAAAAAATCCAAACCAACAACCAACAAAAATACTCAACAGTACAACATACTCCTAAATTTTGCATGGATCACAGGAAGGACACTTCCTCTTAGAAATGACTGAGCATGGCTAGGACATTTCAAACAGCTTCAGTGTTTTGTCAAGTGGTTCCTTTAATTGCATATCTAAACACAGATAGTTACTGTAGACAGCAAATGCCAACATTCCTACAGTATCTACGCCCTTATCATAGCTGATATGATTTATACATAAGCTATGATTTTCAAGCAGTATTTTCTTCCATATAGTACAGCTATCTTGCAACAAAAGGAGCAAAACTTTTGGTCAAGAGACTGATTCAAACGTGACTACAGGTACTTAACATCTCGCAAATGAACAAACAAAAAAATTATTATTATAAAAAGATGTATGTATGGCTACGGTTACAAAAGATGTTATAAAAGATGTATATGGCTGTATCTATGGTTAGATATTAAGAGGAAGTTTTTCCACACAGAGGGTGGTGACACACTGGAACAGGTTGCCCAAGGAGGCTGTGGATCCCCATCCCTGGAGGCATTCAAGGCAGGGCTGGATGTGGCTCTGGGCAGCCTGGTCTGGTGGTTGGTGACCCTGCACATAGCAGGGGGTTGAAACTGGATGATCATTGTGGTCCTTTTCAACCCAGGCCATTCTATGATTCATGGCCCTCAGTCTTCCTTCAACTGGGAGAAAAAAAAAAGAGAAGCAAGCCTGATTTGACTACTGAAAATTCATTTTCTGTTTATCCACATTGAAAACGCTTACATATTTGCTTCAAGTTTCCCACAGTATCTAAACAGTCCTGCTGAAAAAGCCACCTTGTACCAACTAATCAATGAATGAACTACAAATTAGCTATCTGAGATAGCTATCTCAGATCATTACAAAGTGAAAAACCTCAAAAACGTTAATTTGGGACATTCTGAGTGGGAATTCACCAAGTATTACACAAAGCATAAGGCCAAATCTGAAAACCTGATCCTGTTTGCTATTTTCATTTGCTGCCTGAAGTAAACTTAAAAACCTCATAGCAAACCTCTTCAATGGCCACCATAAGAAACACACATCAGTTGCAACAGTGGCATTGTTGGACCTTTCTAGAAAGGCAGTGAATTCCTCGTTTGACTTCCTCCCATGCAAGGCAGGACGTGCCATGTCACAGGACCAAAATGAAGGTGGCATCCAGGCTGACTCAAGGCCCAGCTGAAGCACTTGGTGGCCCTTCTGATTCTAAGCTCTGGGGCAGGGAGGAAGAATTTAAGTGTGCATTTCACTGATTCAAGACGGGTTTATGGCACAACTGTATTTGGTCAGATGCAAACAGCTACACACTCTACAGCCTCCGCCAAAATACCTGGTGCCTTCATGTCTGTGCTTATTGCATTCTGTTTGTGCTTCAATCCAAGGGCAAAGATGTTTTTTATTGTTCTCCCATTACACTCAGACCAGTCAAGAAGTCTCAGTCATTTTGTCATTTTCCCTAGAGCGCACTCTTAGTAAGCCAACAGCAGTGCTGTAGACACCAAAACGTAATTACAAAAGCTGTTTACAGCTTACAATCGTAACTGCTTAGATACCTTTGAGCAAGTTTTCAGTTCTGTCACTGCGAGGCTGGAACAGAATTATTGTTATTAATATATTTTAATATTATTATTAAAAATAAATTATAAATACGTGATATTTAACAGCACTTTCTTTCACTTCTCTGAACAAAAATACTGGATTCTTTTTTTTCAGGGTGTTACAGCTTGCTCTCTTTCTCATGTTCTTAATGGCTCAAAATTTATCCCACTGTAAAAATTTCGTCATGACTTGTTTTATAACTTACCACAGGAGTGGATTCAGTGCCTGAGCCGAAGAGTGCTTAAAAATCCAAACACTGTACGGTTAGAATATCTTTGATTATTCAAGAGAGCAAATGCTATATGTTAACAACAGCATACCCACTGCTACTTAATGAGCATGCAATCTTCAAGACAGAACAACAGTTATAAATATCCTTACTGTACAGTTATTAGTTCAGTAGTACTGAACCCTCCCCAGCAGAAAAAAAAAAAAAAAAAAAGATGTTAAATGCACCAGTCTCAACTTCATAAAGCATGAAGTCTAAAGCATTTAAACTCAAAACACTTTCCAGGCAGAAGAGATCTTTGAACATCAAAAACACTGAATGAAACTGTCTTTCAGGTCCCTCCAAGAAAGCAAATCTTCCTATCAATCCTTCAAAGCCCTCAATCCCACCAGCAAGCTGAGCCAGTAACGAAACAAATCTCACAAATGAAGTACATCAGAAATACAGCTGAGTGCTGAGCGGTGTAACTATCGGACAGACAAGAAGTTTGGTAAGCACGGAAACTTGCAACTCTGAAGGTCAGTAGATAAAGCAGTAACTGCAACATGTAAACAACAATTTGGGCTTTGATAACTCTACAGTAACATAGATAATTCAGTGAGAGCTATGGAAAATTGGAGTATTTCGCAACCACTTTCATGTTCATAATCTTGCCATAAATAGTTCATTCATGTAACATCCAGACTAGCGTTACAGAAGGGATGCACCATAAAATAACAACATTCACACACAATCCAGATGCTCCTCTTTCCCATGAATGTACTGCTGGAGAGTTTAATGTTCATCAAGCTCATACTTGTCAAAGTCACAACCCCAAGAGCAAGAAGACAAGCTTTGAACAATGGGAGAAGAATGTCTTCAGCCTACACACTCATTACCCTAGTTTTATAATTCAGTGAAAACATGACTTCTTTTCTTTCCCTGTGAGTTTGATCTTGTTTCCGCAAGGCAGAATAATTTTAGCTTTTCTTTTGCACTACTGGCAACAAAAGAGGAGGGTGGTTTCTTGCAATGGCAAAATTGCATTTTAGGAGCAAAAAATATGGGGAACAAAAAAGAAAAAAGGAAGAAAAAAAAAAAAGGACACAGCTACCTGCTGTGCCCTACCTTCTATCCTCACTGACAACACCCGGGACTTAGAGAGCAGAGCAGGAACACTCCTGCAACCATATGACAGCAGCTCCCAGGACTGCCTCCTCCAGCACCACTTTTCCAGTTCTCCAGCAGGAAGCATTGCAGAGCATCCAGCATGAAGCAGCAGTGGTTAAAACGAAGCAGTGCCTCAGAAGTGCTCACAGGGCAGGTTGTTAGATACTGTATGCATCTGCAGGACAGAAGAATGTTTCTCAAGGTGACCGTTAGAGTTCATTTATAGCTAAAGGGTGTTTAAATACTTCTTGATTTTATGTAAAACCATACAAACTTGTAGGAAAGTGGAACCCTGGGTGGTGGTTTTTTAATTTTTTGTTTGTTTGTTTGTTTTTTACAATCACATGCAGCACATGCAAGAGAAAAGGCTTTAAAAGGCTAAAGCCATTGCTGCAAAGTAGTCTGGAGGCCTGACAAGCAGCATATGAGGCAATTTCTCCCATTTGTTCAGTTTTTTTTCCCCAAATCCCTTTGCATCCAGGCTTCTTAGCACTGCTGCATCCAACGTGGGCATTCCTGGTGTTAAGACCTTACCCAAGTCTGCCCCCCTATTCTCATTATTTAGTCAGGACTAGTAAAATCCCCCTACCTTCCAAAACGGATTCCTGCACCTGCTCAGCATGGCTTTCAGGATCCCAGAGCATTATTTGTGTTGCAGAACTAAGTGCTATGCTCTCACTCTCCTCTCCTACACTGAGCTCTGGGCTCAGAAAGCTGCCTGCTCTCTTCTAAACGAATCTGCCCTGACAGACGAGCTGGTGCCCTTCCATTTCACCTTGCGTGTCCTTTCCTAACGCCTTTCAAAGCAACAAAACTGGGGAAGTAACTCCTCGCTGTTCTATTACACGTGGTCTCCGTTAACACGAGCACCGCCTTTGCCGCAGGGGCCATCCGACCCCGACCAGTTCCTAGCGTCCCGGCGGCACCTCATCTTCGCTCCGCCACACCTGACCTTCAGCCAGCAGCCCCTTCAAGAGCGAACTCCGCACACCGCGCAGTTTCAGAGGCAGCCCGGCGGAAGGAAAACCCCGCGCCACGAAAGAGTGCGGCGCGAGATGCCGGCCCGCGGCCCGTTACGCGACGGGCGCGGCGGCGCGGAGCCGGGGGACGAGGAGAGGCCGGAGCGCGCTGCCCGCCGGCCCCGCGGCGCCCCACGTGCGGCAGCGGGGCCGCGCCCGACGTGTGCGGGCGGCGGTGCTCGCGGGAGGCCCCGGGGCCGCAGCCGCCAGGCGGCTCACCCCGAGCGGCACCACCGCCCTCCGCGTTCACCTCGGATGACCTCGCTCCTCCTCGGCCGCTCCCGCCGGAGCCACCTGCGCGCGGGGTCTGCCCGGGCCGCCCTACCGCCCCGAGCCTCGCGGCGGATCTGTCCCTCCCCGCGCCGCGTGGCCGGGACTCAGCATCACCCCGGGTCGGCCGCGTGCCCGGCGCTCACCAGAAGAAGAGCCGGGAGCAGAGGTTGGCATCCTGCAGCGGGTTGGGTTTCTCCTCGCGGGGTACCGCTTCCATACCGACCGCCGCTCTGCGCCGCCTCGCGCCGCTCCAGCCCGCCGGCGGCAGCGCACGACTCCAGGCGACTTCCCACCGCGGCAGCCGCCGCCGCTGTGCCGCCGGTCGGTGCTGTTTCCGGGACAGCCGGCGCTCCCGCCCCGGCCCTCCTCCAGCCCGCCCCGCAGGACGCCTCCTGCCGGCCCGGCTCCCCGCACGCAGGCCGCGGCCGAGAGCTACCGGCAGCAGCGAGGGGAGGGAGCGGGCTGAGAGGGACCGCCGTGCCCTGCCAGGCGGCTCTTGCTCCCGTTGCTTGGGCCCGGCTCCGCTCCCTTCTGCCCGCCTTGGGAGACCCCTGTATGCCCCACAAGGCTCGAAGAAAGGCTTGAAACCGGCCGTACTTTGTATTGTGTTCCCGAGGCGAGGGGTCGCCGCGTTTGCCAGGCTGCAGCCTGGTGATGCTGCCCTCGCTGACGCTGCTCGTGCTGCCGGTGCTGGTCAGCGTGTACTGATTAAACTGCTGCTGGTGAAATGCCTTGCCGTCCTCGCAGTGCCGCTGGCACCATAGGAGGCAGAAAAACACCTCCTGGGCCAGGAGCAAGGCCACCTGAATCATAGAATCAGAGTCTCATTACAGTTGGAAAAGACCACTAAGATCATCTAGTCCAACCATCAGCCCATGACCACCATGCCTGCTACCCCTCTCCTTCAATGCCACACCTACAGGTCACCTCCGGAGAGGGTGACTCAGTACTTTTTCGGAGAAGGACTTTTTCCTGATACCCAACCTCAATCTCCCCTGGCACAATTTGAGGCCATTCCCTCTCATCCTATCACTGTTACCTGGGAGAAGAGGCTGACCCCCACCTCACCACAGCCTCCCTTCAGATCACTGTAGAGAGCAGTAAGGTCTTCCCTGAGCCTCATCTTCTCCAGACTGAAAAATCCCAATTCCCTCAATCGCTCTTCATAAGATTTGTGCTCCAGTCCCCTCATAGCTTCATTGCCCTTCTCTGGACATGCTCCAGGACCTCAATCTCTTTCTTGTAGAGAGGGGCCCAAAACTGAACATAGCACTCAAGGTGTGGTGATGCATGGGCTTGTTTTGACCAAAGCACAGAACTTAGCTCTTGGTCTTGTTGAAGCTCATACAGTTGACTTCAGCCCATCGATCCAGCCTGTCCGGGTCCCTCTGAATGAGCTCACTGGGCTAAACCCCACCAGATGCACTCATTTTCACCTCAGTTCAGGACTGCAGTCTCAGGGGCTTGAGACGAGCCAGGCTGGTCTGAGGCAACAGCTCACCAATGCTGTCTGTAGTTCAACTGTGATTAGAAGAGTGGAGTGGTTCTAAACAGTTCTGCAGTTCCACAAGGTGGTGCGTCACAGAAGTCCTTGGAGTAACTAAAAAAATTTAGCACCTTAATTGTTACTCTTTTCCAGTACTGTTGCCAATGGCCTGCCACAGAGGCTGTGGCTGGAAGAAATAAATTGACAGAGGCCTAAGAAAATGGGAATGCAGTACAAGTATCTGAAGATAACAAAATAATATTTCTCTCTCCATTACAAAAATAATTATTTGAATGGATCTCCAGCGTGCTGTAGTGTCTCTGCAGTCTCACAGTCTGGCTGAGGTGGGCAGGGCCCTCTGTGTGCCCGTGTCCCAGCCCCTGCTCCAGCAGCACCACCCAGAGCAGGGTGCCCAGGCCCACAGCCAGGCGGCTTCTGGAGAGCTGCAGGGAGGAGACCCCACAGCCTCTGGGCAGCCTGTGCCAGTGCTGCCAGTGCTCCAGCACCCGCACAGCACATACACATGGATATGACCCCCTGAGCTTTCTCTTCTCCAGGCTGAATAGTCCAGTCTCTCTTAGCCTTTGTGTACCTGCCCCCTGATCATTTTTGGCTCTTATTAGACTACTGCCAGTATGTTCATGTCTCTTGTACTTGAGATCCCAGAACTTGATCCAGTGCTACAGGTGTGGTCTCACCAGTGCTGAGTAGAGGGGAATGGTCACATCCCTCAACTTGCTAACAGTACTTTTCCTAACTTCCCCCAGAATGTTGTTAGCCTTGTAGCAAGGCCCCACTGTTAACTCACGTGCAACTTGGTGTCCATGAGGACACTTTAATCCTTTTACTTCCAAGCTGCTTCACAGGTCATAGAATGGCCTGGGTTAAAAAGGACCACAATGATCATCCAGTTTCAACCCCCCTGCTGTGGGTGGGGCCACCAACCACCAGACCAGGCTGCCCAGAGCCACATCCAGCCTGGCCTTGAATGCCTCCAGGGGTAGAGCATCCACAGCCTCCTTGGGCAGCCTGTTCCAGTGTGTCACCACCCTCTGAGTGAGAAAACTTCTTCCTAATATCTAACCTAAACCGCCCCTGTCTCAGTTTAAAACCATTCCCCTTTGTCCTATCACTATCCACCCTTGTAAACAGTCGTTCCCCCTCTTGTTGTCATGCTCCCTTTAAGAACTGAAAGGCCACAATGAGGTCTCCCCAGAACCTTCTCTTCTCTAAGCTAAGCAATCCCAGTTCCCTCAATGTTTCCTCACAGGAGAGGTGCTCCAGCCCTCTGATCATCTTAGTGGCCCTCCTCTGGACCTGCTCCAAGAGCTCCATGTCCTTCCTATACTGGGGGCTCCAGGCCTGGACACAGCACTCCAGATGGGTTCTCACAAGAGCTGAGTGTAGGGAGACAATCACCTCCCTATCCCTACTGGCCACTCCTCTTTTTAATGCAGCCCAGGATATAGCCTTCTGGACTGCATACACTGCTGAATCATGTCCAGCTTCTCACTCAGAGTGAGCCCCCATCATGTTCTGGTGCATGGATTTGTTCCTCTCCACATTCAGGATTTTGCATTTCTTGTTGAATTTCATGAGGTTTCTGTCAGCCCATTTCACCACCCGGCCAGATCCATACAGATGGCAGTACAGCTCCCTGGTGTCTCATCCACTCCAGTACTGACCTCTGGGACACACCACTAGTTACTGGCTTCTAACTAGACCTGGTGCAACTAATCTCAACTCTAGTCTGCTAAACTGCCTCCCCTCCAGCTGAGGCAGCTGGAAGACTAGCACTGTACATACATTCTCCTTGTTTATCTTTTGCCCTCAGAAGCATCCAGCCCTATCTCTTCCTACTGAAATGCCTTATCAGTGAAACAATTAACAGGGCTGGCATCAGACCTCAGACCGTTAATATAGTTCACACGTTGTTATAAAGGAAGGACAGGATCTGAGCTGTACAGTATTACTGAAGAAAGCACATCAGTTCATGCTTGCAAGAATGTCAAAACAACTGCAAGCCAAACAAATCAAGCTTAAGCTTGCTGTCAGTAAGCATGGACAAAACTGGCAGCAGAATACATTGAGCATATCCAGTGTGCCACAGAATTTTACAAGCAATAAGTAGTGTGATTTTCAACAATTGTCCATAGATCCTTGCAAATTAGCACAAGGAAAAAGTGTGGTGATTTGAAAGGACAGGCTTTAACAAGATAGTTCTCATGTATTCCCTGGTCTTCCAAAACATACAAACTCTGCCCAACAGCAAACTCTGGCAGGTTTGGATTTCTGCAAAGCAAGTTTGTCCAACCAGATCTTCATGAGAGAATTAAATGTGTGACAGCCCAATGGATGTCCCATAATTTCAGGTAGAAAGAAAAAGAAAGATGTAAATCTTGAAACTGGCTTCTACTCCTGAAGCATTACCTTTGTGAAATAAAGTACCAGGCCAGTAATATTGCAATGAAAGATTATCCAAACATTTCTTAGTTTGGACTAGAACAACTGGTCTATGAACAAGTAATTTTTTTAATGAACAGAGTTATCAGTATTAAAGTAAAATATCAAAGTAATTATATCCAAGATCATTGCAATGGCAGGAAAAGGGCAAAGAAGAAACCTTAAGTAAAATTCTTTGCCAGCATTATCAGTAACAAACATTGACACTACTGAATTTTAACACAGAGTTAGGTAGCAATTAAAACAGCAACAGGGATGCTCAAGAAAATCTGAGACTGCACACAGTTAAGAGGAAAAATAACACCATAATGGAATTTATAATCTCCGTTTTATTTTAGGGGAAAAGAAAAGCAACTGCCAATCTATCTGTTGAATGTTTTGCTATGATAGCACAATGCTCAGAACATGGAAAGTACAAGATATATAAGCAAACTAATTAAGGTATGACTTAATAAATCTATAATGTCAGTGCAGCAAAGCCAGCTGCTCAAATAAGGTAATAGCCAAACTAAGCCAGTGGCATCTAGATCACACCCATTAGTCATATTTATTGCCCTGGGGTAATCGATTAGTTTCACAGCAGATGTCACAAACTGACAGACACATAAGGCTCCCTGTTTCTTTAGTGCACAAGAAGGGCAATGCTTGCTAAATGAACACCTGTATGATGTGCAGCCTTCAGCCCTCTTTGATCTACTCTCTTTTTCTGAATGCTTCCAGGTGGACAAGTTTCTTCATGTGTGTGTTCAGTGGTGCTCACCGCTTGAGTACAAGTGGTTAACAAACATCTGCTTTTCACAAAGCCCTCACAGCATAATTGGGTGGTTTAATTTTCAAATGATGAATAAAAGCATGTGGATTTTAGATGAAGTATAGGCGCTCATTTTGATTATGCAATATGAACCTAAAGCTTAATATTTCAGAGGATGTAGTACTAGAACCCTTCTTGTTCTGGCAAGTTCCCATTGATTTCAGCACTGATCAGTTTCTACAAAATGCTCTCTGGGACCTCAAGGCAGGTATCCAGAACATCAAGAGCACATGTGACTGAGTATCACATGTGAGTTTGAAAACTCTGGGTAAAGAATTTGCTGAGCATCATGTGGCATCAAGTGAGGAAATAAGGACAGAAACATTTCCAAAGCTGTTTGAAAGACACTTGGTGGAATAGCTCCCCAAAGACAAGCTACAACAGCAGAATGTAAAGGCTTTACAGCAGTGCATTGTTTAATTTTTTTGAAGGAAGCCAGACAGAAATGCACTCTGTATGCCTGCCTGACAAGCCAATAAGGTAGCCT